GGATTGCGGTGCCGAGGTCTGGGCGCCAGGACGCCGAACGCAGGGCTGGGCTCGCCTGGCTCCCCGTCCGCGTTCAGACCACGGCCGGTCAGAGGGAGTGGACAGTGCGCTCGGGAAACAAATCCGAGTCGCAAAAAAAGAGGCTCCTCTCCCTTCCCTTCCTTCCCTTCCCCTCCAGGCATCGCTCAGCCTCCCCCCTGGGCTGCAGAGTCCCCAGGGCTCAGGGAGGCTCAGACTGCAATTACACCCAGAGTGGCGCCCCTCAAATCGAGTTTCAATGGGCACCTGTCGCTGGTAGACCAGCCAGTCTGAAAGCTCCTCCAAGACTTTAGATAAATAGCCCTCTAATGTTTGTCATTAGGATTTGCCACTCTGAGTTTACACTTTTTTTTTTTTTTTTACACATCTTGAGCTTGGAACAGAAACATTCCTGGAGTCCACTGAGAAAACGTATTTTTTAAAGCTAACCTTAAACAATATTTGTGGTATAGGCATGGGATACCATTTCATAGGCATGAAATAAGACAATTCAAGTATTGGAACATGGAACAGACTGACAAGAGGTCAGAAGGGAGAGAGGAGGAGGGGACTGGATGAAAGAAGGTGAGCTTGGATGCCTGGAGAGGGTGCCCCATCAGCCCAGCCAGCAGCTGAGGCAGAAGTCTGTCTCAGTACCGCCACCCTATGGACAAGTTGGGAACTGCAAAAAGGCTACCAGTCAAGGGGCAAGTGGAAGCTGAAATGCAGCCTGCACCCAGGAACTTGACCTAGCACAGCTGCAGCCACCTGGAGGGAGGGACACACTTTTCTCTCCCCAACGATGCCATCGGTTCTGTGAGTTAACAGGGCTGTGTCTGCTCAGAGGGCCCACCTTTTCCTACCTCACACAAAGGCGGCACGCCGATGAGCTTCAGTCCTGGGTTTGTACATGACCCAGGGGCCCACGCAGCCCGGCCAGGTACCTGTGCACAAAGACAGGATGTGGCAGGGCGGGAAGGAGCGAGCCACGCATCTGGATGCTCCACAGTGGGGGCTCCAGCACCCAAGACACACAGGATACCTAGGCATGAACACCAACACCCCCCCTACCCCCAACAGCACGGAGGCGCTCAGCAGCTCTGTGGGCACGGAGCCTTGTTCAGCTACCGGACAGGCCAGGAACGGAGCAGGGGTGACTGTGGCTTGATCTGATGTATATGGGCCTGTAGGATGCCGCCAAGACCTCCCAGCTGCGAGAGCCAGTACATCGGTGATAACGCAGCTGCACGTGCACCCTTAGGCTGCAGGTGCCCAGGGCCCCAGGGCCAGGCCGTCACCTACATTAGGCAGGGTGTGCACTGACAACAGCCTCCAGGTGATCAGGAACCAAACGCCAGCCCGAACTCTGCTTGCCAAGCTGTGCTCCCCAGCCCTAGGGTTAGGGTTGGGGCTAGGGTAAAGGCACAAGATTAGGGTTAGGGATAGGGATAGGGACAGAGGTAGGTTTAGGGCTAGGGCTAGGGTTAGGGCACTTGTTCCAACTCCCCGCTCCCAAGCCACTGCTGGGGGCCTTTGGGAAAATCCTGTGCTTGGAGTTTTGATTCCCTGATGTAGGCTTGAAAGTAGCATCTCCTGTGAGTGGGTCAGAGGGGGTCAGTTTCACTGCCGGGTCATCGCTGGCTGCGGTGACAGGTGGAGGCTGTGGCCTGCAGGGCCGCCTCCTCCCCCAGCAGCCAGTGAGCACTGTCTCCATCTGCAGCTTGACCTCTGCTAATCCGTTTACCCACTGAGGCCCAGGGAGAACCGCAAAGGAGCTTCCCCTCCTCTCCTCTCCCCCACCTCTGCCCTGCACAGGCCTCTGTCCCCAAATCCTCCCTGACTCTGGGCTGTGAGCAGAGCAGCCGCAGGCACTGGGCCCCATGAGGGTGGGGGAGGGGGAGATGGAGACAGCAAGGAAACAGGACCAGTGGGAGTGGGGTCGACCACGCGGAGGCAAGAAATTTTCCGGAAACAGGAGCAGTTGACGGGCCTCTGAAATATCAGAGAACAACACAGAACTGGCCTTGGAAGGAGAGACCAGTGGGGACGATCTGGGAGACGCCGGAGGGTGGGCGGGAGCAGGGGAGCTGTCTGATAAGGACAAAGAGGCTAGGAGAGTGCACATGACTTTATTAGACAGCTCTTCAGGTTCACCCCTCACCAGTGGGTGGTGCTATACACGGGGTGGCCCTGCTCTCCCAGCAGAAAAGAACATGCAGGCTATTGGTCCTGCAGGCCACCCGGGACTGACACGGGCAGCCTGTTGCAGATTTCGGCTTCTCTTCCCTTTGACGAGACCAAAAGGCCTATCATCTCAGCGGGTGGCGCTCACCGAGTCTCGGATGATGTGGGATTCAGATCTCCCAGACAGCGTGGTCTTTCAAGATTCTGGGGTTTGCCGGTCCTCCAGAGCCGCACGCCTGTGCGTCCGCTTGGGATCTGGAGTCCAGTGGACTTAGATTTGAACCCTAACTCTGCATGCAAGGCTGGAAATGGGCTGCAACAGCACCCCAAACCTGGGAAGTCGGCGGGGGCGGTGGGAGGGGGGGGTGCCCCGGGAAACACTCAGGTTTCAAATCCAGGTCAGCTTCTTCTCTAACTGGAGCCAGAACCGCCAGCCACACGAGGGTTGCACAGACCCCTGCCTAGGCGCTCTGAACCTGCCCAATGTTAGGGAGGCAGCGGGAGAAAGGGGCCCGGCTAGACCACAGGCAGAGCTGATGGCCGGGCCATTTTCAGCCCTCCACAGACCCTGCCCCGGATGCCCCACGACCCCACCCTCCTTGGAACAGAAGTTAAAATGCACCCACATTCCCTCATCAAATAGAACTCTTCTTGGCTTTCAACGTACAAGGGCTTTTATGAATTTGCTTTTGAAATTACTTGACGATGAGTAACTCGTGTAGTTTACTATTGGCTAGGATTTATTTTTCTTTTTTGGCCTTATGATTTCTCTTCAATCATCCTGCATAGTCTGGAACTCTTGCCAAAAACCCAATTTACAAATTGTTTTCAAATATAATGACATTTCTGCGGATACCGAACTTAACAAAGATTAAAGTCGACGTGCAGCTCAGCGCTCGGAAGGCATTCAAACACATCAATTGTGACACTGTCCTTTTCATATTTTGCAGCCCCCAAAGTTTTTCTTTCAGGTCTTCACCATTTCCCAGGCCTTTGACGTAGGCCCTGCCCCCTGGAGAGAAGCCAGGGCACTTGGATCCTCCCCAGCCCCCTGGAGGCACAGAGAGGGGAAGTAACTTGCCTAAGGGCGCACAGCCAGACAGCAGTGTGTGGCTCCAGAGTGAAGTCACTCACAACACTGGGCCATAGTTGTTCTCAACCAAAAAGAGCTATGATGGCAAGGGATGGTGAGGCTCACCATAGGCCAGTGAAAGGAATTAAGATTTATATAAATACTTTAATGAAATATGGAAAGATCTGTTAAAGTATTTGAAAACCACAAAATTATACATATATCTCAACTCAAAAATACCTTCTTTAAAAATAACTGAAAGATATGTATATGTTTTAAAACGTAGATCGCAGGCATGCAGATGACCAGCAAATATTTGTTGCTATTAAGTCAACCAGTGGGCTTTTTGCTGCTGCTGTTGTTCCAATTTTTGTATATTTTCCAAATTTCTGCGAGGAAAATTATTTCCTTTCCAGGTAGGAAAAAGTATTAAGGCCTGACTGTTTTAAAAATATTTTCTCTCAATAAATGTTTGAAAGAGATTTCAGAGAACCAAAAAAATCCAGAAGCAAGTTGTTTAAAAAAAAAATAGCGGGAGCTTGCAAAGAAACGCTTGGAATTGGTAGTGTTCTCAGGGCTGGGTCTCGCCCACCGAGAAGACTGTACGGGGGACGAGAAAATGGCATGAAGGCTTCTATCACACGACAAACCCAGTGAGTAAACATGGAGTCCTGCTGGCACACGAAGCAGGCAATTCTTCCTTCCAAGGAACCTTCTAGAAAGATCCTCCAATCCTGCTCCCTCGTTTTGCAAACGAAGAGAAGACGGAGCACGTTTTTATTATGAAATGGATGGACCGCCTTGGAAAGGAGCTCCCCTCACCCTGGAACAGCAGCGTCCTTCAGGCAGAGGGGACCCAGCGTGGGGTGGAGGAGCCTGGGTGCTGAGCTCCCCTGGCTTCCGTCCTGGTTCTGCCACCGGCCACTTGCACCTGCTGTTTCCCCAACAGAAACAAGCCAGAGCTGTCCAGCCTCTAGCTCCTCAGCCAGCCCTGACGCGGCGACAGGAAACCGACAAGAGCCTTCTGGAGACTGGAGGACCTGGGTCTTGGCCAGGGGCAGGCCTGGCCCTCCAGGGGCCCTCCGGAGGCAAGGGCACGAGGAGAGCTTCTGCCCGGGGACACTGGGCGAGTGTCATGCCAGGAGGTGGCTGGCACAGACGCCGCAGGCTGGGCCAAGCAAGCTGACAAGAGGGGAGGAGGAAGCCAGCTTTCACCAGGCCTTCAATTACTCGGATCGCGCTGTTCTCGGGCTAATTGCTTCCGAAACAGCCAGCCCGTCATCCGCCCCACTCAGCAGCAGCAGGGACAGGCTTCTCAGCGCCAACCCGGGACCCTGCCCGGCACAGGGCACACTCACTTCCCTCCCTGCGGGCGCTCCAGATGTTGTGTGTTAAACTCGGGACAGAAGCCGAGCGGGTTCAATTCCCACACTGCACCTTCCGCTCGCTGAATGGGGATCGGAGGGTGGGGCCTGGAGGTGGCATTTTAAACAAGCTCCCCGAACGTGCAGGCGTCAGAGTGTGAGGCCCACGGCCTAGGTCTGCTTGTCAGTGCACAGGCCCACATCTCCCAGGCGGTGCCATGGGGCTGCAGCAGATGGGCAGTGTCACTTCAGAGGGGCCAGGCTGGACGAGGCCTGTGATGGCAGGCGGGTCCCCCCCGTGGGCCTCTTCTCCCTCCCACAGCTTCCGTGTGCACAAGCACACACATCGGCCAGGCCCCGTCGCTCCCCTAGGAATCCCGTCCTTCCCTCCACAGTGCTCCTGGCTTGACCTCAGCCACGGACCCGGCTGCCCCTCTCCCCACAGAGACCCCACCTGCCTCTTTACTTAAATACTCTTTATTTCTCATGCACTAGGAGGGACGGGATTGTACGAAACACTGCATTTCACAGCGAAGGCCTCGGTCCACACAACAGCACAGGGGACCAGCCCGGACTCAGGTCTGGTCAGAACTCTAGGGACCACATTGGAGGGGCCACCCCCAGGGCCGGTGGCAGATCCAGGAGCCTCCAGCGGCACTGGCCCCAGACATGGCCCAGGAAGCGGACGGCAGAGCACAGGGCCCGGAGGAAGGACGGAGAAGGCTGCCGGGCACCGACTGGGCAGAGGTGGTGGTCCCACGCCGCCAGGCCCAAGCCCAGGATGCCAGGGCTCCGCCTGCTCTCAGCCCAGCGCTAACTAACCCCCGCCGGAGCCCCCCAGGCCTGGCAGCCCCGTGCCCACAGCAGATGTGCACAGGCCCCACCTTGGACTTCAGCCACGTAAACAAGACGGGGGCTCAACTCCACCCCTGGCCAACGCTCAGACTTGCCCAGGCAGGACTCCAAAGGCCGGAGGGGCCAGCCCCCCACAACCAGCCCTGGCCAGGCTTCGGAGGGTCTGGGGACAGGGCCAACAGGGCGGCCCTCAAACTTGGGCCATGGGGTGCCACCTGAGCCAAGAAAGGGCGGAGCGCATCCTGGGCCCCGCTTCCGGGGGAGGCACGGAGACAGACAGAGGGCGGAGACATGCAGGGCAACAGAGGAGAACGAACACATGCAGAGGCCGCAGGGGGGGGGGGGGGGTCCGAGGACAGAACGTGGTCAAGGCGCCGGGATGCGGGCACCCGTGGCCGGGCTCACTGGGGCCCCGGGCTCATGGTGAGGCCCGGCTCCTCCGGGATGGTCTCCAGCATCTCACTCTGCACGGCCTGCGTGATGAGCGCCAGCTCCTGGCACAGGGTCTCGTGCCGGTAGCCCACGCGGATGTCGGGCACGTTGGTGCGGCGGATGTCGTTGCCCTCGGGGCCCTCTTTGGTGTAGTTGGGTCCCAGCCAGTGGCTCTTCACCTGCAGGGGGAGGGGGGAGCGGCAGGCTGCAGCCGGCTCTGGGGGGCCCAGCCCCAGGACCCTG